GAGGGAGGGTGGGATCGGGAGGGGAGGAGGGAGGGGCTTATGGGGGGATACAAAATGAATAAAGTGTAATTAATAAAAAATAAACAAAATAAACAAAAAAATCTAGGGAAGCAGAGGCAGGAGGATAGACAATTCTAGGTTTGCCTGGGCAGGCACTCACAAAACAGCCCTACTGCTAAAACTGTCATTACAGTTTTATGAGGAACAGCACAGTAACTTGTATAAGCCCACAGTTGACAGAGTGAGACCAAATGTCACCCACCTCTACCAGAAGCATGTGCTCTGTAGCACCATGAAACTTAGGAACACTTTCTTTTTGAGGAGTTGAACACAGATCATAGTGATCGGGAAGAGCTGGTAGGGGGATCTTCTGTGATCTTGACATACTTTTCCTGTCTTCAAAGCTGCTGGAAGCCAGGTTCTCCCTCAACCTGTTTTGTTTTACAGGAATGGAAACTTGTCTTCCTCCCTCTTTAGAGAGGTATTTTCCTCCCTCTGGAGAAATACCCTTAGCAGGGAACACAGCAAGGGGTGCTTCTGTCGATTACTACTTGCATTTTTTCAATATGCTATGAGGACGTAGTCAGGTCATCCACTTCTGTGAGTTATTCATACAGGTACAAGAGTTAACATTTCTCGTATGTTTGCATTGATACATCATCAGATATTTGCTTTAAGAAAGAAGTCACTCTAATCTGATACAGTAAAGCCCAAAGTCGTGATTTTTCTCTACTACATATAGTTCTAAACCAGAAGTCAGATAATTTCTAAGGCAGAACTGATTCATGCATGAATGCTTGTGATTGAGTGAACTCTCTTTTTTCTTTTAATGAAGATTGCCCACAACTCTATGCATTGTAATAGTGGGCTTTAAAAGAACATGGTGAAATTCCACATAAGATACTTGGAGGAGATTTTTCTTTGCTCTTTCTTTTTTCTTTTCTTTCTTTTTTTTTTTTTTTAAATCTGTGACTCCAGACAGGATCCAAATAGGAGGGGTACAATCTCCTTTCTGGGTTTTATAGAAATTGCTACGTACCACAACAACCTTAAAGGGACACAGAAAAGGGCGTGGAGGAAATTTTCTATGAGTCAGTTAGGAGCATGATTTTTAAACAGATGAAACTAAGATCCTAACACTGGCCCCTCCTCAGAAGTCCTGGGACTGGCACTTGAACAAGTCACAAGGCTGGATTCTGCTCAAGCCCTCCCGTCTATGTTACCTTGATCACAGTATGCAGCTGGCTGTGCTTTGTGAAGTTAATGATATAATTAAATAATATTGTGTCACACGTTAAAAGCCATAGTAAAAACCTAACAGTTACTTTTGGAAGATGTATTATAAACATGTTCAATATTATTATTCAGATAAGACAAATACAATTTAATTGGTGGCTGGTGTGTGTGTGTGCGCGCATGTGTGTAAGTAACACTGTGGACCACATTCAAAATGCACTTGTCTAATTTCATCTTAAATGAGTAGAATTTCTTCCTGACCTGTGTCCTGAAATAATCTGTTTTGCTCTAGAGACTTCCGCTCCTCTGCTATGCCCCCTGGCTAATTGTGTTATAGGACTCACAGCCATGTGTTGGCATGGATGGGATGTAGGACAGGAACAAGAAATTATTACCATAGTTACTAAACTGTTCTTGTGTGCCAAGAGCAAAACCAAGCCCTCTAAGAGTGATACCTAAGACCCCACCAGACTGCAAGGCTTGGAGTTTGGGTTCCAGTTCTGTTTTTTGACTACCCACACTTCCTAGACCTGCTTTTCCTGCCTCTAGATGCCATTACAATGTCTTTTTCTTTTTGTTTGTTTGTCAGCATTTTTGTTTGTTTGTTTGTTTGTTTTTACAAGAAAACAGAATTTTAGCAATTATCCAAATCATTCCCTCTACTACTGATGTCCTATCGCTTCTTTGTTCAACTCCATTAGTCTGTCATACCTAATCTCCTGCCACCATCACTGTTGCTGAGGTCTCCGATGGCCTCTCCATACTGCTGATTCTTTATGCTCAAATAACTCAGGCAGATCTAACTATGCTCACTTTGAAAAAGTTTGTCAAACTGGCTGTGAGTTTATCTTGGATAAATTCAACCAGTGGAAGCCTCGTAATAGCAGAATCTTTTGTCCTTTTAGCTGCTTTTCAAGAAGCTCACGTTCATTTTTATGGTATTGAAGATCAAAGCTGACATTGCCTTTAGAACACTGTAATGCCAGACCTAAGAGACACCTACTATTCCTACGAATGTTTCCAGCTTAATTCTAACTACAGCTTCTTCTTCCTACTGAGTTAATTTTTTCCCTATAATAGATCTGCTTCCATTTTTTTTTATTGGAATTAACTTTGGGTCCAAGCACATACTAACATGTACTCTGTGTTATCTTCAGCCCTGCTTACCTTTTTTGTGATCTTTACAAACTTTTCTGTGTGATCCTCATAGGCCATGTTTTAGGCCATTGGAATGTTTTAGGAACACTCCAGAGCCCACCTTTCTCTCCATCCTTAGGTCATACTGCTTCTTTCCAGGACACAATGCTTCTACCCCTCTGGACATTCTGAATAATACTGCCCCCTACACACACACACACACACACACACACACACACATACACACTCCAGTCCTCCCATACATGTTACTGTGATCACCATCCACAGCTAAGCTGAGCTATAATTTTGTTGTTTAAGCAACAAAGATTTAAGCAAGATCAAGTTGTACTTGATATTGAAAAGTCCTCCTACTCTCAAATTAAACTATTATCTTTTAATGTTTTCTGGAAAAGAAAAAAAAACTGACTTAAAAACCTTCGTCAAAAGTGATTCTAAAAATAAATTTGCCATTGGATTCATGTTATAATCTGATTTGTGAAGGACAGGGAAGTTGCTTCAGGAGAGAAATAAAGGGGAAGAATGAGGCTCCCAGAGCATAGAACTTAAAACTCAAAAGATGTGTCTTCCCACCTGGGTTACCATGGGAGCCAGTCCTCACTTACATAGATATGTTACATACATCCTTGATACTCTATGACCCACAGTGGATTCCCACACAGCATTTAAAAAAACTCCACCTTTCAACTAAAACAAACCACCTTTTCTACTAAAATGTAAGGTGATGATGAAATCATCTTCTTAAAACCCAGTCCAAGACTTGTGCTGCTGATGGTTTTAAAATAAAACCGTCCTGGCTTTATATTATCCTTGAGGTCACAGGTGACCAGGCTGTGACCTACCTCTTCTTTAAAATCACATCTTTGCACCGGTGGCCCTGTTCCTGAGGCTGCTGTGCTTGTTTCTAGAACACAGGCTTGAATGTGCCTTTTGAATCAGAAAAGCTCACGGGACATCAGCTCTGTGTTCCTTCCCACCCCTCAGTTGTGGCTTGAATGTCAGTAACCACTCTCTTCTTTCTCTTCACTCCATTTTTCTTTCTTGTTTCTCTTTTGGGCTGCTCGCTGACATTTGCATCGTGGCTCTACAGCGTCATTGACATTTTATCTTGGCTAGTTTCTTTCTTTCTTTCTTTCTTTCTTTCTTTCTTTCTTTCTTTCTTTCTTTCTTTCTTTCTCTCTCTCTCTCTCTCTTTCTCTCTCAACACTCAATTCATCTCTAAGGACTGTTCTAAAAATTAAATTATAAGGAACAGAAGCACTTGGCATAGAGCCTGGCATGTATTAGGGGCTCTTAGTTGAATGTGGATAAAGACGTGGCCAGAGAAATGAAGAGAGGCGTTCCCTGGTGCTCAAGGCTAGCAGTTACATACACAAAAACAGGGCCAGAAGTGCAGTAAGCTGGGAGTTTGAAGTGGTCTCAAAGCTGCTGTTAAAGGGGAATGCAGAGTTGCTAGGGCTGGACTGGGGCAAGACCTTTTAAGGTGAAAATGAAAAAGAAATGTAGCAAATCACACTCCCCCTTGGGCAAACTAAATCAGGGGAGAGGGCAGGCTTTTCTGAGTGTCTCCTTATGCTGCCCCGCTGGGTCTGCCCTCTCCCTGCCTTCCCCTGAATAGCTGAGATTACAGGAGTATGCCCACCTTGGTGAGGGGTCACATATTTCTTTACCCTACCTCTCCTTTCCTCCTGAGTTGCCCCTCATCTTCAGCAATGACACTTGGCTACCTTATCAGAGATGCCGTAACAAGGTAGCAATCTTGGCGGCCTTAAACAAGGGAGGCAAGTAAAACAGGAGCAAGATGTGGCCAGAGGCTGGGGCCTGCCCCCTCTCTCTTTGGGTTATAGTGGCCACTGCCTCTCCTTGTCTTCAGGTCATCTTCCCTCTGTTACACCATGCTTTCAAATTTCCCCTTTTATCTAGACCCCACACATAATGGAGTAGACCCTACCCTGGTGACCTCATTTTAGCTTCATTTAATCTCTTTAAAGACCTTGTCCCCTAATACAGTCACATTACCATGCCCTCAAGTTTGAAAATCTAACCTAAGACTTTTGAATGGAAACATTACAGCTCACAATGTTCTTCAAAATCAAAGATTATTTTAAACAGGGCAAAAGCTGGATAGAGATGAGAGGGAATCTGGGGTTAGTGAGGGTCAGGTGACAATGGAAATACTAAACTCCTTTTAAAAAGAAACATTTGTTGAATGCTCACTATGTGCAGAAAATGAGGTTTGAAATCTTAAACATTCATCTCATTTACACCTTATAATAGTCTGTGAGTTGGGTTATATTACAGTTTTAAAATCTGAGACTTTCTTCCAGAGATAGGACAAGTTTTTAACACCATGCAGATTATATGCAGTTGAGATCTAACTATGGGCCTACTGGCCATGTCACATGGCTTCCCAGACCTCTGATATCTGGTGCCTAATAACCATGCACTCTGCTTAGGCTTGCTGCCCTGAGAAGATCCCTTCTATGGTTGCTTCCAACGTCAGTGACCTTCGTTCTGCCAATGTTTGATACCATAGCACTTTGGTTACTTCCTCTACAATGCCTCCTCTTACATCCTGCTTAAAGTATCTAGGAACAAATACTGTGAACTTTAGTCGCAGCTAAAATATTCCAATAACTGTATTTATGGGCACAGTCTAAGTTTACACTTTACTGAGTTTTTCACTTTGAAATTGAGTACAAGCTGTGTTACTAGGAAGAGACTGGGTTGTTGGTGACAGAAAGCCAGGGGTGTCGAAACTTTCAACGTTACCAATGCAAAGGTAAAGGGATTTAACCTGGCGCACGTAGAAGGCCCATTCCTGCTTGGATAAGCTGATACTAAGGGGAACAGAACATGGGTCTGCCCTGACTTAGAATCTCCAGTTCTTACATTTGTGAAAATATTAGAGCCTAGGATTGTTTCTTTTCTGCACCAATAGCAGGACAACATCTCCATTTTTTTATTAATCACAGCAATGACTCAGCTTGAAAGTTTCCTCCTTTAAACATTTTAACTGTACAGGACAGTAGGGTTAAGTCTCAGCCTAGCAATAGACAAGATTCCTATTAGAGCCCAGTCATCTAATATGCTTGAAGAACTTTACACCTGATGAATGCAGTTCCTCATTCCTCCCTTCTTCCCGGTTCTGGAAACCACTAAATATTCTAGGCACTATTTCTCTGAGTTTGGCTATTTTGCATCCTTAGAATCAGTGGAATAAGTATTCGTCCTTGTGACTGGTGGATCTCGTTCAGCATAATGTTCTCAAGATTCATACATTCAACTACTGCATATGGCATAGTTAATATTCCTACTTCAGCAATTTGATGTTCATTCGATTGCTCCAAGTATCAGTGTAGTTCTTCTGCAGACGGTATTAAGAACTAAGTTAAGACTAGAAACACATTCACTGACTGCACTTAAATCATTAAGAGTGGGCATGTCTTTCAACTTATCTGCTCTGGGAGGGAAGCGAACAGTATGTTATGGCTCACTGCCACTTTCATATTCACATAGAAAAAAGTGATTCCCAATTCCCATCTAATGAGCAGTGTAGATAAATGGGGACATCTGAACTCTAGGCTAGTCCCTTGATGTTATTATTCTGGTTTTACTCAATGTGAATCCAATAACCTTTATCTCAAAACAGACCAGATTAGGGGCCAGC